AAGCATGTAAGAGTTGAGTTGACAAGAATCTATGTTAAGTAGAACTTGGTTTCCATTAGGCAATTTAATGGGAGGACTATGATGATCACAAACATCAATTAAGAATTTTATATTTTGTATAATATGATTAGTGCAACCTGAATCAACAATTCAAGGATCATTTGGACAAAAGGAAAAACATGAAAGTTTACCTGCAAAATTGACAAGTGGACTAGAGGGATTTATAGAAGGTGGTTGTATTAAGGCTAAGACTTATTGAATTTTTTTTTTTTAGAGTGAATGGTAAGCATTTTATGCATCCGAGATAGATGTGCCTTGATCTACTATAGCTGCAAGAGGTTTATGAGTTTTATAACTAAAAGATGCATCAGTCTTAGTAAATTCACCGTGTTCTTGCACATTTTGGTTTTATTTTGAAAATGATCTTATAGGCTGAAAATTTGGATCATATTTACATTTTCAGGCTTCATACAACAACGAGACCCAAAATGACCCTACTTTCCGCAATAGTTATAGTGATAAGGAGGCCCATTTCCTTTTGATTGATTCCTTTGGGTTGCACTAAAAATAAGAACCATTAGTTGAGGCTACCATGGCTGATTTGTCTTGATAACTCACTGTATATATTAATCATTTTGATGGATCGTTGCTGTTCTTCTTGCAAGATCAATGAATAAGCTTTAGATATTGATGGCGGCAAATGATTCATCATAAGGAGTTGACTTCTCAAATGAATATAGGACTCCCCCATCAAAAATTAAATGACACGATGAAGTTCCTGAATACTATTGAGAATGGCACTACATGAACAAGCTTGACAATCATTATAAATCTCTAGTTCATCCCACAATCCTTTTAACATTGTATAGTAGTTGGCCACTGAATTATTCTACTGTATGTGATATATGGGACACTGGATTTCAAAAACTCTTATAGTATTTTGTTGAGAGAAGCGAACATGAAGATCTGTCCATACATCATAGGCTTTCTTTATAGAAATTACACTATTAGTGATTTCTTGAGATACAAAATTGAGCAACCAAGATAAAATCATTTTGTTACAATGACTTCAAAGAGCGTATGAAGATGATATTAGATGAGGCTACTTGATATTGCTATCAATGAATTCTTTTTTTTTTTTTTTTTTTTTTTATAGTCATCATCCCTCCATATCCATAACCTGCATTTTGTAATTCTAGTTGTCTCCTCGCAGAATCATCTTCATATAAGCTATCTAGTAATAGCCTATCAAATCCACCAGCCTGATTCATTTTTTTTAAAAAACATCATTAAAATATTGTTTTCAATAATTAAAACTCTTGTAATTAATAAACTTTGCAAATTAACTTTAAATTAGGAATTAATATTAAGATTAGTGGAATTTTATTAATGTATCATATATACATTAGGTTAATTACAATATGCTCTTAGAAATTCACCTTAATTTATATATTCGAACATTATTATTTCAAGATTAACAATTTTAGTCCTTGATATTTGTTAATGGCTCCAACACTTTCAAAATATTCTATTTGTCATTAATGGTAATGTAAGAATTACATTAACTAATTTTGAAACTATGGAAACTAAAGATTATATGAAAACAAGTCTAACATAGTATTTTTAAATCTGATGAAAACTTGTCTGGATGTAATCTATGAGAAAATCTATGAACCAAATTAATAATAAAGATGTTTAAATATTTAATCAATATTTAAACCACTAATATATTTGTTTTTGTTAAACTGTTGTAAGAAATAAAAGTCATGAACTGAAAATGTCAATACAAAAAAAAAAAAAAAAAAAAAAAAAAAAAAAAAAAAAAAAAAAAAAGAAACACTAACCAATTGGCTGCCTGTCACATGACTAGTATTGTTACTTGGTGCAGTAACAAGTGCTAGCTCCCATCCTGTTGCATTTGGCCCAACAAGTGCACTCAAAGCATCACTTGATGAAGATAAATTACCATTATCTGCATAAAAAAAAAAAGTGTTTAAATATAAAACTTATTCAATAAATTTAGTTCCATCAGGTAGAATTAATATGAAAATTACTTATTTTACGTTTGTATTTTACTAAAATATACTATTATGTTCTTGCATTTTCTGAAAATACATTAATTTTTCCTTATATTTCGTATCTGTTTACTATTTTGTCCTTCCATTAATTTTTTGTATTCTTTTGTCAATATTTATAATACAACTTCAGAAAAATTAACTATTTTATCTTTGTATTTAGCCAAATTAACTAGTTTTATCTACAATTTTTTGTAATTTTTTAATGGAAAAAATTAAAAAATTTGCCCTAAGGAAAAAATAAAGAAACAGATGCAAAAAAACAGAAAATTAGTATATTTAAAAAAATGCAAGGACAAACTAGTGTATTTAGACAAAATGCAAGAAAAATAGTAATTTTTTACCATAAAATTTAAGTAATATGAGAAAAGTTCCAAAAATTTCCTAAGCTCTTAGTAGCTGGATACTAATTAACATTGCATACAGAGAAACAGTAGTTGAGATAAAACTTCTTGAATGAATTAAATATATAAGAACCGGTTTACCTGTTGGAACAATTGCAAGAGCTAATGCGTTGCTTTCCTCTAATTGTATAGCTTTTTGATTTATTTCATGCAAACCCTACAACCAAAAACTTACATGTGAAAATAGAATATCATAACAAACCTAACAGAAACATTGAAAGAAGTGGAAAACTTACAAGCAAATCTCCGGTATCATCATAAACAGATATCAACTGTGGAGATTCCACCACCTCTTCTTCAAGTTGAACGTCTTCTGATTTGTCCATTGCTGTTTCATTTTCATCAATTTTTTCAACCTCTTCTTCTATAGGTTCTTAAGGTTCTTCTTTTGCCTTAAGTTCTGGTACTTCTCTCTCTTGATGATATTCCTACCGTTCAACAATTATGTTTATTACAAACTAAAACATAGAGTAATGGTATTATTCTTATTACAGTAATGGTATTTATACAGAGATGAACCTAAAGTCATGAAAACTAAAAGGGAAAGAATACTAATTATACAAGAAAGTAAGGAATCGTAACTAATATGGAAAATCAACTACTATAGAAAAGAAATAATATATACAACTAATATAAGGCATGATTTTAGGCTTTAATAATCCCTTTAAGCTGGAGTATGTAAGTCATAAATACCCAGCTTGCAATGTAGAAAAAGAAACTTGTCCTTGACGAGAGCCTTTGTCAAAAGATTAATTGGCTGATTGGCAAAGAAAATTGATAAAGGAACAAAAGATTAATTGGCTGATTGGCAAAGAAAATTGATAAAGGAAGAAGAATGCCAACTTGAAGTTTCTCTCAAAAACATGATAATCAATTTCAAGATGCTTTATCTGCAAAACAAGATTAATAGTAATGTGATGATCAAGTTGATTATCACAATATAAAGGTGTAGGTTGCATTAAAGAAATCCCAAAATCTTTTAACAAATTATGCATCCAAACAACTCCTTTATTGGTAGTTGCCATAGCATGGTATACAGTTTCAAGAGAGGAATAAGAGAAAATAGTTTGCTTTTTTTCTTTTCCAAGAAATGAAACTTGTGCCAACAAATATATAATAACCTGTGGTAGACCATCTTATCATAGGACAACTTGCCCAATCAGAGTCGTAATAAGTAGTGCGCGAAAATGAACTAGATGAAGATAGAAGAATGCTTTGATCAAGAGTTTTGTTCAGGTATCGAAGAAAATGATGAGCAACATCTAAATGTGGCTTACGAGGTGCCTGCATAAATCGATTGAGAATATTAATAGGGAAAGCAATATCGGGTCTAGAGATAGTAAGATAAATAAGTCGACCAACTAGTCAATGATAAATAAAAGCAACTTCTAATAAAATCCCATTAGAATCTAAAAATTTAATATTGAGTTCCATAAGTGTGTCAGTTATTCGAGCATCAATAACAGTAGCATCATTGAGCAAGCCAAGGACATACTTGCGCTTACTCAAATAGATACTTTTAGTGAAGCGAGCAATTTCAATACCAAGGAAATATTTTAGTGAACCCAAATCCGTGATACGAAAATGGCTAAGAAGAAAAATTTTAAATTATTGAATGAGTGCTTACCATGTTATCCATATAAATTAGAGGAAAAAAAAAGTTAGGAATACGCCCTAAAATAAATAAAGAGATCAGCATGTGATTACCTGAGATCAAGAATGCATGAGAAAATGTGGAAAACCAATTGCGAGGAGCTTGTTTTAGTCGATAAAGTAACTTATGAAGCTTGCAAGCTAGAGAATACTCTCTTTTTTATCACATTTTTCAGGCAAGACATATAAACCTCTTCATTTAGCTATACATGAAGAAAAGCATTTTGAACATCAAGTTAGTGTAAAGGCCAATTTTTCACTGCAGTAATAGCTAAAAGAACATGCACTATCAATAATTTTACTATAGGAGCAAAATTATAATGATAATCAACCCCTTCAACCTAGATAAAATCTTTGGTAACTAGATGTCCCTCATATCTTTCAATACTATCATCATATCGCCTTTTGATTTTAAAAATCCATTTGCAACTAACTGGCTTCTTGTCATGAGGAAGAGGAATAATAGACCAAGTCTTTGTGTCTTCTAAAGCAAAAAGTTTAACATCAATGGCTTGCCTCCACTCAGGAAACCTAATGGCTTGGTAAAATTTGTAGGTTCAATATCAAAAGACAAAGGGCTAAGAAAATGCACAAAGGACAAGAAGTAAAATGATGATAAGAAAGAAAATCTTCAAGAGGATATTTCATACCTGAATGTAAAGACGAGTGACGAGATTAAGCATGAGAGCAATGATAATTTTTATACTTAGAAGGTAGGCAAATTTCTCATTGGAAGTAAAGCAGTGGTAGGTGCATTAGTGGAGGATCTTGAACTGAATGATATACAAGGTCTGTTGAATTTGTGGTTGGAGAAATAGTATTAGGAGAGGATAAGGAGAGGATGGAAGGGTCGAATTTGTGGTTGGAGAAATAGTATTAGGAGAGGATAAGGAGAGGATGGAAGGGTCCATACTACTATCTTCTTCTATTGGAAAAGAGAGTGGAAATGAATCTTCAGTTTGCTTCTTGTACATGATGAAAATGTTTGTTCATGAAAATTTACATCATGACTAATAGAAATTTTTTGTGTGAAGTTAAAATATTTTATAATCCTTTTGACCATATGAATAGCTAATAAAAATTCTAGGTGAAGCCCGTTTATCAAATTTATATGTGATGTGAACATTAGGTCTAAAGCATAAACAACCAAATGCATGAAGATGTTGAAATGTTGGTGCCTTATTAAACGGTAACTCAAATGATGCTTTATAGTTGAGAGCTTTGGTAGGCATTTGTTTAGAAGATATGCAACGGTAAGAACACATCCCTCTAAGATTTAATAGGTAAACCAACTTGAAAACGAAGAGCCCGAGCTAAGTATAACAAGTGCCTATGTTTGTGCTTCACAACACCATTTTATTGTGGTGTGTGGGTGCAACTATGCTTATGAACAACACTAAGTGAATTGAAGGAGGGGGCAATATTATTAAAAAATTCAGTATCATTATCACTTCGAACCCATCCAATTGTGGCATTAAATTGTGTTTTTATCATGGAAAAAGAATTTTCAATGTAATGATAAACTTGAGACTTAGATTGAAGTAAGAAAATCCAAACACCATGAGAAAAATTATCCATGATAGTTAAAAAGAAATTTGCACCATTCAAAGAGGGGGTTGAATATGGTCCCTAAACATCAACATGAAGAGTTTAAAATAGGAATTCGTTGAAATAAAACTAATAGGAAATCATACACATCAACATGAAGAGTTTAAAATAGGAATTCGTTGAAATAAAACTAATAGGAAATCATACACATCAACATGAAGAGTTTAAAATAGGAATTCGTTGAAATAAAAATACACCAGTTTGTTCTGCCAAAGGTCAAATAAGATATGGATGTTTATTGGAAAAATAATATTATTGATATGAGGTAATAATTTTAACATGTTGACCAGGATGTCTAAGACGCAAATGTAAAATATCCATAATTGAGGTTTTTACAGAAAGACCACCGTGCTCCTTTGCCAAACCTATAAACTTCTTCATCGCCAGGTCCTGAAACACACAAAAATGAAGAAAAACATAAACTGAACAATTAAGTGTTTGATGATTTTGCTAATGGAGAAGGAAGGAACATAAATCACATTTTTTATAAGCATGTAAGAGTTGAGTTGACAAGAATCTATGTTAAGTAGAACTTGGTTTCCATTAGGCAATTTAATGGGAGGACTATGATGATCACAAACATCAATTAAGAATTTTATATTTTGTATAATATGATTAGTGCAACCTGAATCAACAATTCAAGGATCATTTGGACAAAAGGAAAAACATGAAAGTTTACCTGCAAAATTGACAAGTGGACTAGAGGGATTTATAGAAGGTGGTTGTATTAAGGCTAAGACTTATTGAATTTTTTTTTTTTAGAGTGAATGGTAAGCATTTTATGCATCCGAGATAGATGTGCCTTGATCTACTATAGCTGCAAGAGGTTTATGAGTTTTATAACTAAAAGATGCATCAGTCTTAGTAAATTCACCGTGTTCTTGCACATTTTGGTTTTATTTTGAAAATGATCTTATAGGCTGAAAATTTGGATCATATTTACATTTTCAGGCTTCATACAACAACGAGACCCAAAATGACCCTACTTTCCGCAATAGTTATAGTGATAAGGAGGCCCATTTCCTTTTGATTGATTCCTTTGGGTTGCACTAAAAATAAGAACCATTAGTTGAGGCTACCATGGCTGATTTGTCTTGATAACTCACTGTATATATTAATCATTTTGATGGATCGTTGCTGTTCTTCTTGCAAGATCAATGAATAAGCTTTAGATATTGATGGCGGCAAATGATTCATCATAAGGAGTTGACTTCTCAAATGAATATAGGACTCCCCCATCAAAAATTAAATGACACGATGAAGTTCCTGAATACTATTGAGAATGGCACTACATGAACAAGCTTGACAATCATTATAAATCTCTAGTTCATCCCACAATCCTTTTAACATTGTATAGTAGTTGGCCACTGAATTATTCTACTGTATGTGATATATGGGACACTGGATTTCAAAAACTCTTATAGTATTTTGTTGAGAGAAGCGAACATGAAGATCTGTCCATACATCATAGGCTTTCTTTATAGAAATTACACTATTAGTGATTTCTTGAGATACAAAATTGAGCAACCAAGATAAAATCATTTTGTTACAATGACTTCAAAGAGCGTATGAAGATGATATTAGATGAGGCTACTTGATATTGCTATCAATGAATTCTTTTTTTTTTTTTTTTTTTTTTTTTTTTTTTTTTTTTTTTGCTTCAAAATCCATGGTGATAGCATGATATTCTATATAGGATAATTGTCTCCCGTTAGGAATTGAGAGATTAATATGGTTCTCGGACTGTCAAAATGATGCTCAAACAAACAGTTGTGCTAGATAGAAACATCGCAGAATGTATACGATTCATATATTTTACAAGGCAATACTTTGAAGTAGTATTCGAAGTTCAAATTTCCAACATGGGCTCTATGATATAGTTTTTCAACTAAAAGAAGGAAAGAATAATTTATTTACTAAGTGAAAAAGAATGAGCATACCAAACCTTGAATAAAAGAATTATTCCCCTATTTCAAAGAGTTAAGCAATATGTTAAAACCAGGAAATTAAAAAGAAAATTAATTATCTTCTAAAGGAGCATATGATTTCCTTGTTGTGATACTGAACTGTGTGGAAGACTTGAAAATGGATCCCCAAAAGGATTTAAAGGACTCATTTGATGCGTTTGTGATTGAGGATGTTGAGG